TTCCTATAACCTATCTTTTATTTTGTTCTTTATAATTTCCTTTAAAAAGAAACCATCAGATATCTAAGCTTGTGTGTCTGGTTTATTTCACTTAATATTATGGTCTCAAGTTGCATTTATTTTCCTACAAATGACTCGTTTGCCCTTGATGGCACAATATCACTCCATTGTGTGTAAATATTTTCTTTCTGCATTCATCTCTTGACAGACATATAGGCTGCTTCCAAGCATAATAGCTGATAACAGATGAGCTATTATGAATTACGATGCTATAAACATGGGAATGCATATATCACTGTAATGTGATGTTCTTAACTCTTTTGAGAAGGTAGCAGAAGAGGAATAGCTGAATCCAATGTAGTTTCTAAAGTAGCTGTAACTATTTAGAGTTGCTTTAAATTCTGCTTTATATGAGTTCCCTAAACTCATATAATTTAAACTTACATTGTTTTTTGCAATAAGAAACCAAAAAGGAAAGCAAAAAGGTAGAAAATATTGGCTCCCCAAACTCATTATTAGACCTTAGTGCTGGTAGTAGTTCATCTAATCAAAGTAGTTTCTCTTTCTAGCCAAGGTTCAGAAATGGCCTCTCAAGGACGGGAACTGGCTAGTCACTTCCAGAGTGAAGGCACTCCAGTAATGATTGGTAAGGTGTTTGGACATCTTGGACTTTTTCAGCAGTGTGGAGAAGAATAAAACTTACTAGTACAAAGTTCTAATGTTGTGAAAAAATCAGTCATTTTAAAATTAACTTATTCTACATATATTCACTGAATTTTTTCAAAGTTTCTATGATAGAAGAGAGGTTATTAATAAAGATTATAATAAGCACAAGTAAAGGTCAAGAAGAGGTGATAACTGTGTTTAAACATTGAAAGAACTGAGAGCACGATTAGAAAGAGCAGATGGTCACTTGACCAAGCATCAGGAATCATGGTTCTGCCATTGACTTGGCTGGCTGTTCGACACCATGCAAATGACCTAGCATTCTGGGCTGTATTTGTAAAATAGACCTAACGATGCATGATTCTGTAGAGCACAGGACTTGTCCTGTGATAACAGCAGGCCTGCTAAGGCTGGGACGTAAGAACTGGAGGTAGGCAGATGTCAGCGGAGCATCAGAAAGAATGGACATGGGTGGTGGTTGCCAGAGACACTCAACCAGGTGCAGCAGCGCCATCTGGACAGTGGCTGTTACTCAGTTGGGAAGGAGTTTAGACCCTCTGAACTGCTCTGGCCTGTTCTGTCCAACTTAGCCAGTTTGTAGGCTGTGACAGCAGAGAGTAAGCTGTGTTACAAGTACAGTTTTTTAGAGTGAGTTTAATATCCAGGCCTTTTACAATATAGGACAGTCAGTTTTATGATTGATTGATTGATTGATTGATTGATTGATTGATTTTGGTACTGGGGATCAAACTCAGGACCTAGTGATTAGTCTTTTTAAATGTAAATTGAATAGGCAGTTGAAATTAGTCTATGTCTTCCTACATTTCATATTTCTTCTTCCTTAGGGGGAGGCGTTTTGGCCCACACAATACTAGGAGTTGCATGGAATGAAATGACAGGAGAGATAAAATTTCTGATTCTAGATCCACATTATACAGGTGCTGAAGATCTGCAAGTTATTTTAGAAAAGGTAAGTATGCTCTCTGTTAAACACTAACTTAAACAAAAAGCAAAATACTCAGAAAAGAATAACATTTTTAGAAGAAAGATAACAAGCTACGAGGGCAGTGAACTTCACTGTCAGGAGTGGTTCCAAGGCGCTCAGGAGCAACTACCTTCCTATGGGGAGGACACGGAAAGCAACATAAATTGCAAAAGACAAAATTTAGATTAAATTGTATGAAAAGCCTCTCAGTTCACAAACTTAATGAAACACAAAGCTCGTAAATATATTCCTTTGGAAATTCAATAGCTTTTTATGAACAAATATATTAGGGTTTATCAGTTCCTTGAAATAGAAGACTGAATATAGAAATTTACAATTGTAGAATTTAAAAAAGGCTAAGTAAGATTCTGGACATTACAGAGGCTTGACTACTTGACCTGATCTTACTCTGTAAAGGTTCTGAGGTTGAGACTGTAAGAGTATGTGTTAATACCTATAAATAACCCAATGGAGTTATGAATTTAAATTGATTTATAGGGAACTAAGTCTCATGAAAATTCAGTCCTAATTTTTAGGAGCAAGTATTACAAGACATAATTAACCTGAATTTTAAATAAAATTGTTTAGCAAATATTAAAATTACAGAGCATACATATAACTTTTTAAAATCATAACTAAAGAAGATACTTTATTACCCTTTACTCTTTATTTTTGTCACTTAATATCAGTTTCAAAGAAAGGTTTCTCTTTGAAATTGTAGCTTAATTAGGTTACTTTCTCAAAAGCAGAATTACTGGAAAATGGAATGTTTAACATTGAAACTCATTGGTAAGGTTCTTTTCAGAATTATATTGTTCAGAACTACATTAGCTTGCTAAAGTCTTACAGATAAAACATTTTAATGTGTATGTTGAAGAGTTCATAGTCTTATGTGTATAGCAGAACTGTCATGTCCTCAGTTTATTAAGTTTTTGTCAATGATAAAAATAAATACTAACAGGATATAAGTGTCTTCTGCAAATGGAAGTTTTTTGATTACTGCACATATCTTTCTGAAAATCATTGCAGTATTTACTGTTTGTGTAACAAAGTATTCTTTCATTCAGCATTTAAAGTCAGGAGTGCTGGCACACACCTGTAATCCCAGCACTTGGGACACTAAGGCAAGAGGATCTCTGCTACATATTGAGTTCAAGGCCAGCCAAACTACGTAGTCAGACCATGTCTCAAAAATACAAATAAAATAAAACAAAAATATTTAAGAAGCCAGTATGTGCCAGCCATTGTGCTAAGCACTGGGAGTTTTAAAAAAAAATTCATGAGCTCACAGTCTAGTGGAGAAGGACAAAGAAGGAAAGGCTTCTCAAGGAAAAAACAGTGCTGTCTACAATGGGTTTACAAGGCTGATGCTATATAGATCAACCACTTAGAGCCACGAATGGCAAGGATGACCTTGTCCAGTTCCAATATCTTAAAGGAGGGAGAAGCCTCAGTTATTTTCATCTGAAGAGTTATCATGGTTAACAAAAGTGCTTCTGTCTGGCTTTGCACTAGATGGAATAATCTAGATTGAGTTTCCTACAACAGTTAGATACAGGAAGCTGTCACCCCTGACTGCTTACTGAAAAACGCAGTCTTCCTTTGCTGCTTAAATCTCCATGGACCTAGCAACAGCAGAAACTCCTTTGATGCAGTAGCTCATATAAGAAACCATGAAGCAGGGGTGCAACCAATCAGTACAACGTTGATTGTCACTGGGCTCCAGTAGTCTAGGAAGCTTCAGGCAAGTTCTGCCACCTCCAGCTTCTCTACCCTCATGGGGAACTCTTTGTGACATTGCCAGCCCAGTCATCTTGAAGAGGCAGCATGGGTCCTGTGTACTTGCTTTCGAATACCCTTTCTACTCATTTCCCTTAAAAAAAATATTGGATCTGATGTTTATGTAGAGAGAAGAACTGGTTTTCTTTTTCTAGACTTTGATCTTGTTTGAATATTTACAATGTATATTTTAGGGGGTTTGTGTGTGTGTGTGTTTTAAGGAAGGTTCTACAGGATGTTCAGGGTCTCACTACTAGATCAGACTTGTAGTGATCTGCCTATTTACAGCTTCCCAAGAACTGGGATTACAGGCGTGAGCCACCACACCAGTCTCAATTGCCAACTCAGTGTGCCCCGGAGGTGGAGCTGGCACCACAGGCCCAGGGATTGAACCCCCAGCCCCTGCACCTGCTTGCAGGCACTTTAATCCACTGAGCTATTTGGCCCGCCCGTATTTTAATGTTATAATTAAATAAAAGAATGAAAAATAAAAACATTTCAATCAACCCTTCCTCTTCCACACTAAGAAGCGGAGCTAATAAATTGTCTTCCATGGATACTATGGATTTTGACTCAAGGGCCCTGCCAGATATCCAGCGTCTTCAGAGATAAAGGAGTAATTCCTGTATTTGTCAGTTATATTTTTAGAGTCCTCAGCTAGCCTCCTTGCAAGTGTTTCTCAAAGCATTTAATTTGATAATAAAGTAAAGCAAACCAGTCATCAGCTTGTTTTTAAGAAAATATATCAGTGGCCCTGTAAGAAATCCAGATTTCTTTGATTTTGTCTGAATGACAAACTTTCATTTACATTGAGATTCGATAGTTTGGTTTTTGTTTCTGTTTTTCTGGAACTGGGGATTGAACTCAGGCCCTTATGCTTGCCAGGAAAGTGCTTATTCCACTGAGCCATCTCCCCAGCCCCCTTGAAAGTAATTTTCTCTGCTGAAGTATTAATACAGACACAATGAAAGCAGAATTGGTTATATAGCCTGAAGGAAATAAAAGAATCTCAAATGTACCTCATAGAGCAGACTCAGCTCCCACTGCCATATTTCACCTTGGCTGAGATGCCACCACGTGGTACGCATCATTCTGTTGTGGACTGAAAGGAACAGTCTGCACATAGGCTGTCATCACACATTACTGATTACCAGCCATGCTAAACTGTGCTCCTCAGAACCAGTGCAGTGTCTGGACTAACAGTTACTGGAGGGAGGGGTTTCTTTTTTGATGAGTTCTATAGTTAAATAATGTAGCATTAAAAGTTTAAAGATCTATATTACTTTTCTAAAAAGTGTATTAGGTAAATTATATAGGTGTTTGAATCTTGAGTTGATGTCCTGTTGACAGTTTTGTAGCACAGTTTCTATCATGTAGTGTGGTAACTCTGTAAAAAGTGTTTCTTTTTTCTCCCAAATTTAGGGCTGGTGTGGATGGAAGGGCCCAGACTTTTGGAACAAAGATGCTTACTATAACTTATGTCTTCCTCAGCGACCAAATATTATATAAATTGTCTTGGATGCAAAGGACACTGTAGTAAAGTGATACTATAAATTTGTTTTTTAAAAAAAATCAGTTTCAGATTAAATCCTGGATACAGTTTCATGGTTTAAGTGATTTTTTTAAAACAAAATACCTAATATTGCACAGAGATTTATTCCTTAGACATTCCTTTAATAACTTAAAACGTATACAATCAAAATATTACAAGCATGTAAATACACGTATTCTTAAATGTTCTCTTCACTTGGAAGAAAGTGTCCCTCCACCTTGGAGTTTAAACACATCTGGTACCCCAAAGCCATCGTTTGTGGTTGAATAAAGCTCTGCTTCACACCTCTTCATAACCAGCATGACATCGGTCTTAAAAAAAACATGTTAACATTAAAAACTTTTTACAAAAAAAAAAAGTTTTCTCCCCAAACTTCCTCTATGCAGGACAAATTTTGGTCTCTAGAACCTAGTACAGTAGTAGTGGTAACCATACAGTATTAAAATATTAATGAAAATGAAAGCCAAGTACCAAAGTGCATTCCTATAATCCCAGCAGTGGGAGGCTAAAGCAGGAGGATCATGAGTTTTGAGCCCAGGCTGGGCAACCCAAAAGACCGTCTCAAAATTTTAAAAAAAAATTTAAAGGGCTGGAATTGTAGCTCAGTGCAGAGGCCCTGGGTTTAATCCTTAGTGCAGTCCCCCACCATGAAAACAAAACAAGAGATAGTACCAAAATAAGAGTGCCAATGATTAAGTGGAAAAACAAGTTCTATGCTAAAAGAGATTCTTGAGGGAGGACAAGCAGCTGTGCATACTTACCAGCACTTTCTTTTCTCATTTAAATTTTCTGTACTTCCAAAACTTCGTTTCTGTCTAAGCCCTGGAACACAGCGATCCCTGATGGGTTGTTCACTTGATTTTATCATCTGCATACATTTAATTGTTGTAAGAAACTTGGCACACTCTGGAAATCCATATAACCAAGCAAGATCTTCAGCGGTTTGCCCATTCTTATTACATAAACTGAAATTAGAAAAAATTGAGTTAAGTAAAAACTGATACTTAATCTTGTTTTTTTGAGGGGTCCCCCCCCCTATTTTCTAACAAAGGATTTTGGGCACGGATGAAAAACAGAAAAGATAAACACATAGGGAAATTTCATCCTTGCTCACTGTTGCATCTCAAGTGGCTGGCAGATTCAGCACAAAGTGGGCATTCCGTGTTGAAGGAATACAAGATATTTGGTGTTCCATACAGTGCATGAGTGCCAAACATGGTAAATGATTTTTTTTTTCCCTTTGGCTGACTCAGGCTGCCTTAAGGGCAGGTCTGGTAATGCAGGTGGAGGTAGGGATGGAACCACAGCATCCTGCGCCTGACTGCATTTTCATGAGCAGGCGCTTCAACAGCTGCGCTAACCGGCAGGCCTCCGAGTGCCAAAAATGATCAACCAAAATTTCTATAGAATGGGCCTACCTAAGGCAAAAGGGAAGTAGATAATGAATAGAATTGCTCCTCTGGTTGCTTGCGATCCATGGTTATACCACTTACTCAAGTTGATATTACACATGACTGATAGATAACTTTAACATTAAGTACATTACTAAGTAGCATTACTTTAAAAGCACATGCAAATAAGCATTAGGACTCTGAGTAGTTTAATCCAAGAAAACAAAATTTGAAGCCATTTATGTATTTCCTACTCACTCAATCTGGGCGTCACTTGCTACAAGCAGGCTAAGGCATTCCAGGCTTCCAACTTTAGCTGCCTTATGGAGGGGAGCTTCTCCCAAAACATCCTTTAGGAAAAGAAGGCATTTCAGTGTGTCTCTCCAAAGCACTGATGTATGAAAGTTAGTGAGTGAAGTCTTAGCTATTTGAGGAAGCCGGTTAGAACGGCATTGTATAGACTGGATTTTTCTTAATTCAAACTTTTTATTTGTGATACCATTTCCTTAGTGTGTTATGTAATACAAAGTTTTCATTAATAAAAATCTGTGACCACATCTACATACATTAAAATTTAATGAAAGCAAAACACTTCCACTGAAGCCAAAAAGTTCACAATTTAAAATTCACCATACTTGAATATCTGGATGAAAATTACCAAAAGAAAATATGGCCAGACTGAACTGAGCCAGCATGTGAGAGTGTAATACACATTAGTTTGTGAGACGAAAAAAATAAAAACAAATCATCAATAATTGCTTTATACCGGTTATATATTAAAAAAATTTTTTTACAAATTCTGTTAAGTTACTAAATATTTCCTTTTCATTACTGTGACTATTAAAATATTTTAAATTACATGTCTTGTATTTCTGTTGATATCTCTGCTATTGACACGTAATAGCTGAACCAAACAGACAGACTGGCAGCTAGGAGAAATGCCTGTGACGTTGAGTCAGAGGTGCAGGTGGTATACAGGTGGAATACAGCAACAGTTATGTAGTTACCTGTTGGTTGAGGTCAGCGCCTGTCTGCAGCTGCCAGAGAAGAAAGTAAGCAAAGCCACTGCCTGCAGCTAAGTGGACAGGCGACTGCTCACAGGGATCCGGAGGTGCATTGACAGAACACCCAGTCTGCAACAGATGCTTCAGTCCATCTGCCTGCAGGAAGAGAACAGATTCAGCACTCTCGCCTTTGTTCAGTCCTGAGCTCTTTCCCATCTGAAACTTCTCCCACTACAAAAGCCTGTGTCAAAGGGACAAGGCTGTTTGGCCCTGCAGAGCAGTCAGACCATTGTCACCCTCCTGGAAACTATCCTACAGGACCAAGGGGCCCCAGTCTCACCTCCGGGTTGCAATCAAACAATAGCATCTCCTGCCTAAAGCAGACGACAGGCGTCACTGAGAATGCAGAGTGGTAGGAAGGCGCTGCAGGCGGCAAGTGAGAATGCACAGCCCTGCCCCAGTGGGTGAGAATTTAAAGCCACCGCGCCCCAGCAGCCTCTGCTGCCTTGTGTTCCAGTCCGGAACGCTGAGGCACGTACCCAAACACTGACACGTGCTGACAGCAACTAGACTGGGCGGGCTCTGGGAAAGGGAGGCGCTAGAGGCGCGAGTTCACCAGCTGATTGGCCATCCTGGAGATGTAGGGACTGCCCACATCGGGGCGAGGCCCCTGGCCATTCCCGCGTTGGGCCAGCGCGCGTGCGCCTGGAAGGCAGCGGGCAGGGAGAGCGCCCCCCCGGGCGGTTAGGGTTCAGCGCCTGCCATGAGGCGCGCTCGGTCGGTCACGTACCGGGGCCGGGTGCCAAGCCCTTTAATCTTTCTGCAGAAGCGGGAGTCGCGGCGTTGGTTTTGGTTTCTGCACCCGCGCACGTAACCAGGAAAAGAGGCAACGCTAAGGAGCTGAGCTCCGACCCCGCCTTCGGAAGCTTCTGAGCGCGGCGCTGGCGCCCTGCGGCGACTGGAAGAGAGGATCGCGGCTCACCGCGGCCCGGAAGTTTAGGAAGGAAAAGCCGAGCAGGGCCGGTTCCTGGGCAAAGGAGAACGGGATTTACCTCTGGAGCCGCCCTCCCCAGTAGTAAATGAGGTTCCCGGGCTGTGACCCGGGTGGGAACGCAGTGAAATGAGCCACCGCGTAAAGTGTTCCCTCGTGGGCAGCGGGTGAAACACTCGTGCCCTCGAGCCAATGCAAGTGGTCTGCAGGAAATCTGCGGTTGTTGTCACCCTAATTATTAGGATGCTTCGTGGAAAAACTAGACCCGGACAGTGAACACCTGAGGTCTCTTCCCGCCGAGCCAGGGGTCAGCCCTGGTGCTCGGGAGGCAGGACTCAGCAAGGGACTCCCCCAGAGCTGTTTGTAGGAATGGGCTTAGACATTCACTCCCTCTTGTAAAGCTTTAAAAACTGTTCAAATTGGAGCTACTGACAGACTTCTCTTCCTAAGCACATTCTCCATGTTAATCTAGCTGAAACCCAAATCTCCAAGCATGCATTTCTTTCTCCAAAATCTTTTCCCCTAAAAAAACTTGTTTATTGTACTTTTACAGGACTAGCCCAGTTTCTTCTACTATTCTATTTCTAGTTTTCTTTACTGTGTATCATTTATTTTGTAATCAGACTCCTATAATTCTGCAATTATAGATTTATGTTATTAGGCAGTAACCCAAGGGATAGTTTTAACCATTTTTATTCATGTGACTACTTGACCTTTTTCAGACTAGACTCTACTCCTACCAACCAGCCAGCTATAACACCCCCAAACCAATCACATTCCGAAAGTCCCACCTAGGAGGCTCTTGTGGGACACCTAGATAGATCTGCAACAAGGATAGAGCAAAGTGTCCTGGAATGAGGGGACACAAGTTTGACTGGGGGAACAAGCAAAGAAAGGGAACAGCTGTGGGTTTTCAGGTGACATGCACAGAAGCTGGGGATAGGGACACAACTCATAAAGGGCACCACAGAATCCACTACACTTACCTTTTTTCTTTAATATCACAAATTTCTTTCAGATTCTATATTATCAAGTAATGTCTATAGTGTCTATTGTAGAATTTCCTAAAGGTCCAAGATATTGTGCGAACAGCTGTCCACTACAAATGGTTTTATACCAAATCTTAGGGTTTGGCAGAGGGCCAGGGAGATAGCTCAGTGGAATAAGTGCTTGCCTGGCAAGCGCAAGGTCCTGCATTCAATCCCTGAGACCACCAAAAAAAAAAAGCAGAAAATAATACCCCTTGTTTTTTTCCACCTTAGTTATTTTTTCTTTCTTTTTTAATGTATTTAGTACAGGGTCTACAGTGTCTCACTACCAAGATTGGACGTAGTGATCCTCCTATTTTCAGCCTCCCAAGCGCTGGGATTACAGGTGCATGCCACCACGCCCAGTCTCAGTTGCTGTCTCAGTGCGCCCTGGAGGCTGGACTGGCAAAGCACTCTTACAATGGAACCACCTCGCTGCACCTGCCTAAGCAGGTGCTTTACTCCACTGAGCTACTGGGCCGGCCCTGGTTATTTTCTCATATTGAAAAGTACTGCAATAAATCAGGTCATAGGAGTCCTGACATGTAAAAATAAAAATCCATAATTTGTATTTTAGAGAGACAGAATAGAATAAGTGCATAGGTATGAGGACATCCCACCTTTCCCACTGATTATATAAATTACTTGTCACTATGCTTCAGTTTCTTATTAAGTCCATATTATATAAAGTTTTATAGGAATAAGTGCTTCTAAAGCACTTATAAAAAGGACCCATTCATTTAGTGAGAGCTCCGTAAATATTATTTTCTAGACCTTCTCCAACACTTCTTTTAAGCTACAGCAACAAAAACTATGTACACTCTTATAACCACAGAGGGCAACAAGAGCTTATAGAGGTAAGGTATTGTTCTCTGATCGGTTTCACTTATGATTCCCATCCTGAATGTATCAAGGATTTTCCTTCCTTTCTTTCTTTCTTTCTTTCTCTTTCTTTCTTTCTTTGTTTCTTTCTTCTTTCCTTCTTTCTTTTCCTTCCTTCCTTCCTCCCTTCCTTCCTTCCTTCCTTCCTTCCTTCCTTCATTTTCTGTGGCTGGCTCATCCCACCCTAGGGGCGGGGCTGGCACAGCATGTGGTGCCAGGGATGGAACTGCAGTCCCTGCATCCTTGCCTAAGCAGGCACTTTAGACCCCTGAGCTATCTCACCAGCCCCATTCAAATATTTTTTTTAACCTTTGTTTTGTGTGTATAGTAGCATGCTGGGTTAACATCTTCAGTAAAAGTAAAAACTTGTGAATCAGCTTATGGGTAATAAATGGTAGGGTATGCTAATTGCATTATCCCATTTGTATCTTCTTCTAAATACCTTACCTAACATTGTTTCACCCTTTGTTATGGTTTATTTCTAGGTGTCTCCTCTCCCCCTATCTCCACTCTGCAAAGCCTCACACAGCCACAGGGTGGATTTCTAGAGTTTTTGATTGGCTCACAGTTCAAGGTTGGGATTATGGGTGTGAGTGCTACAACCCACCCTGGGACTAATAGCCTGCATACAGTATAAGGAAAAAAGAGGCTTGCTCTCTACCACTCCTCCCTCTTTGCTCTTGCTGCTTTTGCTGTTTTCTGCAGCCCTCTGCCTTGTGCCACTCTGCCTTGGAGGCAGCTGATTATGGAATGAAATTGCCACTAACTGTGAGCTAAGTAAACCTTCCCTTCCTTAATGCTGGTCAGGTATTTTGTCTCATCAGTGAGAGAAAAGTGACCAGGTATAGTGCCTGATACATTTTGTCAACTTGAGTTTAGTTTAATTGACTTAACAGAGAGCCAGGGTTCTTGTTTTGTAAATATCCTCATCCTGTGAGGAGGGCACCACCTTGTGTAGTTCTACAGCCCCTCCCTAGGGCATGGAGGGCCTGCCCTTGAATGATTCAGCACTTAAGGGATTATATAAGCGACTTGAGGAAGGATGGTTGGTCCTACCTCCTTCTAGGAGCTCTGGTCTTTGGAGTCAGCAGGGAAGGAAGAGAGGCTTGCTGGATGCCACAGCTGCTGTCTTTCCTTTTGCTCTTTCTGTTTTCTGCCACCAGGAACTGCTGCCATCTACCCTGTGCTAATCAGCTTTGGAGCCAGCCAAGCATGGACTGAAACCTCCACTAACTGTAAGCTAAATACACCTTTCCTTCCTTAACTTTAGGTGTCAGGTATTTTGTCCCAGCAATGAGTGAACAGTAACCAAGACATTAAGACATCCTGTAATTTATTGGGAATTTTATATTCATTAATGAAACCAAAGATTTGGGGAATCATATATATATATATATATATATATATATATATATATATATATTCACTGAGTTTTTGTTTTTTGCTTTTTGGCTAATATACTGAATTCCCTCCCTTTTCTACATTTCATTTTCAGTGAAACTATTTATTTATTTTTATTATTTTTTTTTGGCAGAACCAGGGATTGAGCTCAGGTGCTTGCGCTTGCCAGGGAAGCACTTATTCCACTGAGCCATTTCCCTGGCCCTAACAATTTATTTTATAATTACATAAATGCAGGGGCTGGGGAGATAGCGTAGTGGTCTAAGAGCTAACCTGGTAAGGTCAAGGACCCAGATTTGATCCCCGGTATTGCATGCCATGCTGGCCCCAGGTGCCAAGCTGGCCACAAAAACTGGGCCAGACGGCACATGCCTGCAATCCCAGCACTGGAGAGACAGACAGGAGGATCAGTACAAATCCGAGCTGCATAGCAAGACCCTGTACCAAATACAGTCTCTATAATGACATAAATGCAGTTTTCCAATGAATCTCTTGAGTTCTCTTCACCACCAATCAGGAACCTGGCCTGAAAGCTCATTCTTGATTGGCTCAAGCAAGCTATACCAGTAGAATGCGAAGGAATAATTACAGGAGCATAGCAACAACTGAGTTTGCTCTCTCACACCCCCAGCCTGAGCCAACCTGGACTCCTTCATCCCAAATGAAGTGGCCTCTACATGTTATATGAAGGCTGTGCTTCACCATTCAACTGTGATCCATCTAATGACACAGCCATCCAATACAGACAGGAAGACAAAACTGAACAACGCAACTAAAATAAAGTATATTCCCAGGTAAAAATGAACAAATGCATTCATATGAAATGAATTAGTCTGATGAGTTCAAGTTACAAGGCCATACAAAGGACTTGTACACAAGAACTATATTGTCAGTGTCATGAATTCTCATTAAACGGAAGCAGTAGAGGTGGGTGACATGACTCGGCAGAGTTGTCAGATAGGACTTGTAAACTGGTTTCTTCATTAATCCTTTCTTCATTAAAAGGAGTGGAAGATGGCTGTGTCTTATAGGTAGGGAGCATTCTCGTTTCCTAGGAAAGAATGTTCACCTCTCAGAACTGATAGCTTGGTGTCATATTGTTAGGCAATGAGTGGGGGTTTGTTGTAATGGATAGCAAGTGGGAATGGAGCCTCTCTTTACACTTTTCTGGAGGAAGAAATTTCTGCCAATTTATTTTTTATTCTTGTTTACAGAATACACATTGTGGAAACAGGATGAATTTGACCAGTGAAAAGTTGCCCAAGAATCCCTTTTATACCTCTATATCTCAGTATGCTGCTAAGCACCACAAATTCTTCCAGTGGAGAAAGGAAAACACTGGTACAAACATGGATATGTAATCTTCCCTTGAAAAATATGCTTACTGGGGCTGGGGAGATGGCTCAGTAGAATAAGCACTAGCCTGGCAAGCGCAAGGGCCTGAGTTCAATCCCGGGTTCTGCAAAAAAAAGAAGAAAGAAAAATAAGCTTACTAAAACTTTAGCATATGTTAGGATAAGCTAAACGAGAAATGTGTGTCTTACTGATTTCAAGGAAGTAGTTACTTTTATGATCCCTCATAAAACTTCCTTGCAAGAATCTGGAATTATGACTTTAATCTGGTACCAAACTGTAAGTGGAAGAGTCAGCATTCAGTCCTGATTCTGATGTTACTCTCAGGCCTTAACCATGTGCTTCCAGAAAGCCAAATGTCAATTCTATTAAAGAGACTATCACTGTGCTGTACTTGAAATGGGGATGTAAAACTACAAATTTCTTTTCTATAGACTTACGAAATAAGTTGGACATGGTCAGCTGATTTGATTAGTTCTAATTAAGCTTCATGTTAAAAATTTAACTCACCAAGTAGATAACTTTGCTCACCCCAAAAAACTATATGTACATAGACTGTGTTGTTTGAGCTCCTACTTGGCAGTGCACAGGATTAGTTTGAAAATCAGTGTGTATGCCAAAGTAAAGTGTTAAGGACTATGATAATCCTTTTTTAGGTGATACTTTTTTTCCTTGAGCTGAAGAGTCCAGATTTAGGTATACAAACTAGGAAAGAAAATACATTTAATAGTGTCAAGTGAATTGTATATAATATATTACTTAAGAGAAATTAACGTTACATGGTTAATGGAATTTTCACTTTATTAAATCAGATCATTACAGCCATGCTGCTTTGGTAGATAAGGCACTGCAGCTCTTGAAAGAAAGAATAAGAAGAGGGGATGCTCTGGCTTATTTCCTTCGAGGTCAACTGTACTTTGAAGAGGTATCATTTATTTGTATTTGTTCCCTGTAAATCTATTGTTAGATCATCAGATATAAGTGGGTTTTTTTTTGTTTTTTGGCAGAACCAGGGATTGAACTCAGGCCCTTGCGCTTGCCAGGGAAGCACTTATTCCACTGAGCCATCTCCCCAGCAGAAACAAGTGTATTCTTAACATTATTCTATTAAGGAAATCTTATCAAATTACTTCATGTATGACATATTATTACCAATTTAAGGAGATAGCTGACCTTTCTTTACAGCAGTCATTCTCAGTAATGTTATTAGTGGGGGTTTTTGGTACTTAAAAAATTCTTTTTTGCACTATGAAACATTTTAATATTTTTGCTCAAAATAATATATTATTATATTACTAATAATTGAGGGCCCCAATTCTGATCTAGTACTAGATTAATTTATATTTAAAAGTAGTTTGTACTTAGAAATAGCTTTGTGTTTCTGTATAGCAAGGAGCCAATCCTCCACTTTATCCACCTTAAGAAAGTGTGGGAGGTAGACTTAAAGAAATTATGCAAACTATCATCCCAACTTCAGTAATACAGCTTCAATTCTTCCCTGAGCCCCAAGGATGAAGGGCCTGTCCTCTGTCCCTATGATCCAGTGAATATTTGGGAGTTATTCACCCATATGCTACTTTCTAACCTTTCTCTCTCCAAACCAGTATCTGTTGAGAACTCAGCATGCACTTGTCACTCTGAGATGTCCTATAGGCATGTCGTACAGCTAAGAGCATGATCTCTCAGCTTTGGCCACAGGTTTCAATACAGCTATATTGCTTGTTAATTGTATGTTTCAACACAAATAACCTCATGGTGCCTCAGTCTGTTGTTACTCTAAGGACACAATAAAATAATCATTTTCTATGGACTTATAGGGATGGTATGAAGAAGCATTAGAACAATTTGAAGATATCAAGGAGAAAGATCATCAAGCAACTTACCAGCTAGGAGTAATGTATTATGATGGGCTGGGGACCACTGTAGATGCTGTAAGTTGTTTTGTTCACCAGGCTTAAGTTTTCATTGTTGGGATTAGTTTGTACCATTACATTATTTATATTTTAGTAATGTCTCTTTTTGTTTGTCACAGGGTCTTGCTGTGTAGTTCAGGCTGGCCTTGAACTCACTATGTAACAACACAGGCTGGCCTTGAGCTATAGGCCATTCTCCTGTCTTAATCTCCAGAGTTCTGGGATCACAGGCATGCACCACCACATTTGGTCAAGTTGTCATAATTAACAATAGAATCTTTGGATATTAAAATATTTTTTAAAACTATTCTAGTTATTTAAAATCTAGTGACAGATAAAAATGGAATTTATATGCACTGCATATATAGTAAAGACATCTCTAACTAAATTTTGAGATACCAGATCAGAAAGAGATAATCTTGGCTGCGGAACTGCACTGTCAGTTTGCCACAATTTGTTTTCAGTTGCCTAATTTGAATCTCTAAAGGTCATTGGCTATCAGTAACATTTCTTTGTAAAATGCTTTTCTTTATTCTTAAAAATTGTTCTAAAGCTACATGATCATAGAAGAAAATAGAAAATAAGTAAAAAACAGAATTACTCCAAAATCTATCAAATATGAACACTTATTTTTTTATGAAAACCTCTTAAACTTTGTCCTGTTATCCTTATATAGCCAATTATTTATCTCTCTGTAGATGCTTACTACGAATATCCTCATCTAATTCATCTACAGATCTACTACTGAGAAAACACACAAATCCTATTTTAAAAAGCAGTGCAATAGTACCTTACCTAGGTAGGGATTATACAGTCATCCTTGGACTTCCCCTTGAAGAACATAAAGCTGGCTAGAAAATCCCATATCAGTTTTCTATATTCGGAGACTCACTGTGCAACCCATGAACTATATGTTCATTCCTGTGACCTTATCACCTGTTTTAGTTGGATTAATGTCTCATTTAATTTTGAATTCTACAAATGTTTGGAACGATGTCAAAAACAGGTGCTGGAGAATCAAAGATGAGTAGGACAGACATCAGTTGTCTATGAGAGACACTCAGGATAGTGTGTGTCTTGGGCTGAGATAGATACATTTGCAGGAAAAAAGATGGGGCCAGAGAGGTTTTCATAGAATAGCTGACCTAAGCTGAATTTTATTGATAAAAGGTTATGGAAGGAATGGCAGATAGAGGAAGCCGCATGAGAAAAGTTGGGAAACCTCCTGCAATAGACTAGATCCAACTTCCCTAGCCATTTCTTTTTTTGATTTAAAGAAAAAATTTTTTTTCTAAACAATAGGAGGTAACAATGGATAATACATTGTGTATTATCTTTAGTTACTCAGAGTAAAAGATATCAGCACTTAGTTGTCCAAACAATGTCAGCAAAAACCTTTTTCAATGAACTAAGAGAAATTAGTAGCATAACTATCTTACCTATCTTTTATAAATATATACATTATACATATATTTATTTTTCCCCATTGCTCTATCCCCATTTCTCTTTCCTTTTGAAGTTTCTTCCCATTTTTCAATATCTATTGTACATTGTGGATCTTCTTTACTCGTCTAGCTTTTCACACTCAGGAGACTATAATACAGTTTACACATCTGTATCTGGGAATGTTACAGGAATAGTGGCAAGTGAACTATATCTCAAAAAGTTAAAACATTTCATTAATCAAACATGAAAAGACTAAAGGACAAATTATAATGCAACACAAATTGAAATTGTGGAAACAGACGGGTGACATAGCTCAGCGGTCTAAAGCACCTGTTTAGGAAAACAAAGGGACTGTGGTTCGATCCCTCGCACCAGATGTTGTGCCAGCCCCACCCCCAGGGCGGGCTGAGCCAGCCACAAAAAAAAAAAAAAAAAAAAGAATTTGTGGAAACATCTTTAAAAATTTTACTTCCTAACAAGTAAATGACGGACTTTATTGGAAAAAATCATAGTATACTGCTTATGCAAAAGAATATATTCTTTATATAGGATCCTGAATATGTAGCAGTGATATTTCCTGATATTTATGTATTTTAGTTTAGGGCAAGTCAGAAAAAATGTGTATGAAGCAAATACAGCAAAATACTGCTGCTGAAAATCTAGAGTTGCAAAAATATTTATATATTATTCCTTCCACTTTCCTATATGCTTGAAAATTTAATATAAAAAGTAAAAATTTTAGGGCTGGGGAGATGGCTCAGTGGAATAAGCGCTTCCTGGCAAGCGCAAGAGCCTGAGTTCAATCTCTGGTTCTGCCAAAACAAACAAAAACCCTAAAAATCTGTTCCAGTAAAAGTAAAAATTTTAAAAAAGAAATTTATAATCATTGTGGCCATCAAACAAATGTAGTTTACCTGGATAAATGTAAATCTGTCTGTTCAAAGAGAGTACATATGTGCTTTACTTATAACAAGTGATACACCAAAATAAAATGGCTCAGTAAAAATATTTATTTAAAATAAGTGCACATACACACATTTTGAAATTTTGTAGGGAAAACAGTGGCAACATAAGCTGTGGTTAGTATGGATGCTAGTCTGCAGGCTTTAGCTCTGAGGCTAGCTTTCCTCTCGACATCTGATTTGACTTCTGTGTTCATGAAGATTGATCATCTTTTAACTTAGCCATAGAACTCCTTCACAGATTCAGTGTACTTCCTTTATCCCTGGCCTTCACTCCATCTCAGCCAGTCGACGTGTGGCTATACCCTAAGCCTTGTTATTACCTCAACTACTCCACATAAAAAATTTAAAACTTCTGTACTATCCCATCTGGCCACATCCTTAGCCTACAAAAGCCAGACTCGTGGTGATCCTCCTGTTTCAGCCTCTCCAGCACTGGGATTACAGGGGTGCAATACCATGCCCATTTTCAGTGGCCTGCTCGCTACCTCCTGGGGCGGGGCCAGTGTGGCATGTGGTGCTGGAATTGAACACTGGTCCCTGTGCTTGCCAGGTGCTTAGACCACTGAGCCACCTCCCAGCCCTCTTTGATCTTTCAGTCTAATCCTCTGCTCTCCATTTTCTCCTTGTCCTACATCGTCTTCAGCCAGCTTGAGTATATGAAACAGTATGTCACTGATAAGCTACTAGTCTTTTTCCATTCTGTCTTCCCCACCCCTCCTTCGGCTGCACAGTCACCATTCCAGAATGATTTGCCATTCATTCTTCTAACACATCTTTCTTCAGGACCTGCTATGAGCCTAGAACTTTTCTAGGCACAAGAGGGACGGCAGTGCGGCAATAAAGCTATTGTTAGAGGAAAGGTAGTGAATTAGATAGTGTTAGGTATATGAGCTGTGGAAAATGTGAAATGGGATGATACAGGAAGGTGCCTGAAAAGGTCACTCAGACTGGAGAGGGCTCTTGTCTCAGAGTGGGAAGGCTGCTTTGAGGACACGATGAACTAAGAACTGAGCAACAAGAAGGAGCAGCACATGCCAAAGACCATCATGTAAGTAGCTGATTCTCAGGCCCGAGGAACAGAAAGGAAGACAGTATGGCTGGAGTGTGATCAGAGAGCGAGAGGGGGTAGACCTCACTGGATTTGGCAAACAGTGGCCTCCAGTTTGGACTGTATTCACAATGCAATGCTGGAAACTATAAAATGAACACTCTCCTATGCCAGCACTCCTCCTGGAGATGCCTGGCCAGCAAATGTCCTTTTATTCATTTTTCCCTCTATGTTTACTCAGGAATCCGGAACAATCATAAGCATAGATTCACAATGTAATATGCATTCATATCAGAAGATAAATGTGGTACATTATTAGAACAAAGAAATTCAATTTAGAAAGAACTTAAATAAGGTGTGGTTTTTGTTTTTGTTTTGTTTTGTTTGTTATTTTCCTTTGTGGAAGGAAAAAGGAGTGGATTATATGAAGAGAATTCTTGATTCTCCATGTCCAAAAGCAAGACATTTAAAATTTGCTGCTGCTTTTAATCTTGGAAGAGCTTATTATGAAGGAAAAGGTGTTAAACGGTCAGATGAGGAAGCTGAAAGGTAACCTTACCTGAAAACAAATTTTTGTTCTATTATTATTATTATTATTTTTTTTTTTGCAGAACCAGGGATTGAACTCTGGGCCTTGTGCTTGCCAGGGAAGCGCTTATTCCACTGAGCCATCTCCCCGGCCCCAAATTTTTGTTCTATTGAAATGCTAAATCTAAGAATAAGTTGCCTTGCTTTCTCTTTTAGATTGTGGCTTTTTGCTGCAGACAATGGAAATCCAAAAGCCAGTGTGAAGGCTCAAAGTATCTTAGGACTATATTATTCAACGAAAGAACCCAAAGAGTTAGAAAAGGTAACACTTCTCTTTTTTCTTTTTAGTGCTAGCATATGGTACAGGGTCTCACTACACAGCTGGGACTCATAGTAATCCTCTAGTTTTCAGCCTCCCCAGCCCTGGGATTACAGGCATGTATCACCAGGCCTGGTCTTGGTGGCTGGTTCAGCACACCTGGGGCCAGCCCGGCGCAGCATGTGGTGCTGAAGATCAAACCCAGTCCCAGCGCTTGCCTGAGCAGGCACTTAGTTCAGTGAGCTATCCTGCCAGCCAATACTAGCATTATAACTAAATTAATATTTCACTTTTGGAGAAGACAGTGGGGAATAAATACAGAGTTTTGAGTATCTTTTATAGTTCCATAAAAATTAAAGGAAGTTGGTAGTTAGTTGATTTCATGTCTTTTACTTATCTATAAATACTACCTTCCTTACCTCTCCCAATGGACAGCAGAGATACAAGAGTATTTTGTGTACAATAAAAGATTACACATACAAAGGATTATATAAAAAGCAGAAAGGGATATTCCTGAAGTTAAGGCCCAATTCCTTTTATACATGAATAATTAATATTACCTTTGATTTGAGGAGTATGTAACACTAATGAGTAAAACATACCAAGACTTACTTAAAAGTTAAATCTATTTAAGAATTCCAGTGAAATATAACCTTAGTGATTGGAACGTTCTTCAAAACTCCTACAGCAAGAAGAAAGTTGTTGATTCTTATTTGTAAGAGAGGAGTTAATGGCATATTAGTAAAAGGCAGATGATAATTAAGACTATTCTCAATAACTGAAAGAGAAAATAATTTGTAAACCTGATTCAAATTTAACATAGTTGAACATCAGGTTATTGTGCTTGACCTACAGACAGCTGCCATCTGGGATCCCCCCAAGCTTTGGTTTCTTCCCCTGTATCAGCAGCTCTTCTTTCCCCTGCCGCACTATCTCAAGCCTTACTTTGGAGAGTCAAGAAGGCTGAAACCTAGCAAAGCTGATCCTTCTCTGCCCCAGCAATCTCGCCTGTGACCCCACCAGCTTGTAGGTAGACACAGGACCCACTTCTGCACTCTTTCACTGAATTCAGAGTAGTGTGAAATACATTTGGGGCTAGAACTATTTCCTCGCAATTCATATTATATCTTCTTATAATTAAAGCTTTTTCTTTCCATTATTCCTTTGTAATTTCATTTGTGAATAAATAAAATGATGCAATTCTGCTTTTCTTAGGCATTTTATTGGCATTCAGAAGCATGTGGCAATGGGAATCTGGAGTCCCAGGGTGCACTGGGCCTCATGTACTTTTACGGACAAGGCATCCGCCAGGATACTGAAGCTGCCCTGCAGTGCCTAAGGGAAGCTGCAGATCGCGGGAATATCTATGCTCAAGGGAATCTGGTCGAGTATTACTACAAGATGAAGTTCTTTACGAAGTGTGTGACATTTTCCAAAAGGTGACTTCCTAGTCCATTTTGTATTTCTATAACAGAACACTACAGATTAAGTAATGAATAGAAATTTCTCAGTTTTATAGACTGGGACACTGGCCAGCAAGGCTTCATCCCTGGGTGGGGAGGAACACTGTGTCCCCCCAAGTCAGAGTGCAAAGGGAAGTTGAAATCAGGGGTGAGGGCTCTAATCTCCCCCACTGAGGAGGAGCTCTGAGACCTAATCACCTGTCAGAGGACCCTTCTCTTAATACTGTCACACTAGCAACACCTGAATTTTGCCGGGGACACAGACTACATCAGTAACATTTAAATAAGCTGGATGAAAGATTCACAACTACTGGGCATTTTGTGGTAGATGTGTCTGATTAAACTTTCTGCAAATGTTGAGAATGGTAACAAGTGAACACAATGTGAGTCTAATGTAATTTAGGACTAAGTTTTTGAACTTAAACAGCCACATATGACTAATAACTACCACATTGGATGGTATAATTCTATGCTATTGATCTTTATAATTTCAGTGCTATTATCTGAAGCAAGTTTCCTTTTGCATGTGAGGTGTGGTGGCGCACACCTAAAACTCCAGCACTTGGGAGAAATATCACTGACAGTTTGAGGCCAACCTGCCCCACATAGGGAGTTCAAGGCCAGCCTGAACTACGTAGTGAGACTTTGTTCCCACTACCGTTTCCTTTTTAAAACAGTTTTCAAAAAAATGTTTTATTGGATACAAAACTATACTTAAAATACATTGACATATCAGAAACATCTATCTATTCAGCCTGTTTGTTCCTATACTCAAATCATGCAGTTCGATTACAATGGAAATAGAATTTCATTACTATAAAATAGTTAAATGTGACCCTAATTCTCTTATAAAATATATGGAAACTTTTCTCGGGGTCCACGGGCTCCACATACTTTCTGTTATGACTGTCCACACTGTATCAAAGCAATACCCTAGGCAAGCCAGACCTTTCTCCCAGCATGGGTAGGGCAGCCCCTGAGAAGATGAAGGCAAGGAGGAGCTGGTTCCCCCTCTTCAGAAGGCTACTTAAAAGGGGGGAATCTCAAGTGTTCCCAAGCAAGTTCCAATCCTGATTAAAACTAAGACTTAAATAGTTCTTTCAAATTTTTGAAACTTCCCATTGTTGTCTACATTTTGATTCCCTCTACCGTATTTAACACGGAGTTGGCAAATTTCATTTCACAGGATTCTCTGTGTCTACTATACAAAAGATAGCTCCTTTTATTATTGCTTATTTTTTAAGTAGAGGTGTTAGTTTTTTAAAGTTTTTTCAAGTACTATGTGACTACAGGCCAAGATATAAAGTTAATGTTTCAATATTTGATCCAAAGAAATATAAATTCTACTTTCTGCATTTAAGTCCACAAAATGATAATAAACTTAAAAAGCTAATATTACAAAAAAAATATCATTTGTTGTCTAATGGTTATTAAGCCTGATCGGGAGGATCATGAGGAAACTTCTTCATCTTCCTCCGGTATTAGCTGATTTTGTTTTCTGAACCCCTCACACATAGCATAAAACTTAGTTCCCTAAGGGGCAAAGCCATCACTGAGTGTAAGGATAATTTGTAGGCCCATCATTTTGTAAGTATGTAAACCCCAACTGATGTTCTTTTCAATTCACAATTTGATGTTCTACCAGGATTGCTGACTATGATGAGGCTCATGACATTCCCATGATAGCCCAGGTCACGGACTGTCTTCCGGAGTTCGTTAACAGGGGCATAGCCATGGCGTCTTTCTACTATGCACGGTGTCTTCAGCTTGGCTTGGGCATCACAAAAGATGAAGCAACAGCTAAACACTATTATTCTAAAGTAAGCTTTAGAGCAAAGTAAAAATTCATCCAAATAGAAATTGCTGGGCTTTTACTTAAAGCTTGAACTTCATGGATAATTGTTTTCTCCTACTTAATTACTGAGCAGATAACCTGTGGACAAAAAGCCTGTTGGGGATGCAGATTGTTTACAGATAATTCTGATAATTTCATATTAGCATAATTACATTCACATGACAAAAAGTCCTATTTTGATGAAAATTAGTCTCTTCAAATCAGTAGCCATCTATAACCTAAGGCCTAGCACCAAGACCTGAACTAAAAAGTTCATGTCTTTTCACTTAAGTGTGTACCTGTATCTCCAGTCTAATATCTTAATGAAATATAATTTTTAGAGTTTTTAAAATGTGTTATATCATACTTTGGAGAAATATTCATGAATGTCAAGTAATTGCTATTTTTTTCTAATTTTCATATCCACATGGTAACTTTCTCTTCTAAAAGAAAACAACTTTAAGGTGGTCACTGTGGCACACACTTGTAATCCCAGCACTCTGGGAGGCTAAGGAAAAAGATTGCAAGTTCAAGCCCAGTTTGGGCACCTGAGACCTTATCTTAAAACATAGTGGGGGGGGGGGGAGAGATAGCTCAGTGGTCTAAAGCACCTGCTCAGACAAGCTTAGGCAAAGCACAGGGACCACAGTTCGATTCCCAGCACCACATGTGGTGGAAGTCCCGCCCCCATAGTGGGCTAAGCTGGCCACAAAAATAAATAAATAAAATTTAAAAAAAACCAAAAACATAGTAGGGTATGGTGGCAGGAGGATTACTGCAAGTTCAAAACGCTACAAAACAAAACAAAACAAAAACAGGCTACACTATCTCAAAACCAACCAATCAATCAAAAGTAAAAAATTTTTAAAAGTGATATAGCTTACCAAGCCTTGGGTTCGTTTCTCAGTACAGCAAAACCAAACAGGAACACTAACAACAAAATTTAAAGGGCCAATGAAATGGTTATGGAGATAGCATTATGAATTGTAACTATAAGAAAACCCCCAAAATTGTACATGAGTTGAATTCAACCTGGAAGTATATAAAAATGTATAAAGCAATTCATGTAGCATACAAATTACTCAGCTTGAACCAGTGGAACAAGGCAAGGAATAATTTCCTGAGGATTTTGCCTGAATCCGGTATGATAGCAGTGATTTCTGAACTTGCCTGTGTATTAAAACCACCTGAAATTCTATAGTTTACGCCTGATTTTAGAAGAATTAAATTACAGTCCCTAAGGATTGCCATCCCGAGGATGCAAACATGCGTATGTATTAAAGCTCCCCAGGGGACCCTAAGGTGCAGGCAAATTTAGGTACTGTGTTTGATATTAAAACTTTCCAAGTACCAAAACTGTATAAATACATAAATATAGGAATATGGCATATAACCAAATACAATGACCTTTAGGATATTCCCTGCTACACTGTTCTGTTGATAGGAATAAGATGACTTTGCTAAATTTAAAAATCTAAATACTTTCTCAATTACTGTCTACCAGTTTCAGAACTATCCTATATACTAGCAGACAAAATTCTGGGTAAAAAATAAACCTGAAAGATGGTTATACATCTTGAAAAAGCAACACAACAGATCAGTGTTGGAACTATTTTCCATATAATACGAAGCAATATTTCCTAATAAGATAACCTCTAGGATACAGTATTTAATTTGGCCATTGCATATTGTAGGATACTGATAAAATGGAGAAAAACTAGAGGCAGTAAATGAGTGAAGGGTCCGGAGTAATCATGTAATTTGAAGCATGAGAAGAAAAACAATGCTTCATTTAAAGCAAGAGAAATAAAAAGGGGGAATCCCAACAATGATAGCCACAGAACAAGTAGTGTCCTATAGAATAGAACTGTGGATGAGGGAGCACAATTAGGGGTAAGGATGGTGGTTTGTGGAAAAAGGGAAGAGGACAACACGGTCATTCATGGACCTAAGGTCATGAGACTCACGGCTGATCTCATCCCCACCACTGTCAGGCTGGGTGACTTTGCCAACTACTACACTTAGGGTTTCTAAATAACATATGTTTTCCTAGAACCTCTCAATGATTCTAAAGTACATGAAGGGAAACCTCAGCTTAATACAAGAAGAATGTTCTAATAAAGCTTTGGGAAACAGAATTTTTCTAAGTAACTTACTACCACTAGAAGTGACCAAGCAAATCCTGTACCTAGTGACCAATGAGCCTAAGTACCAAGGGGAATTTCTGCACATGGTGAGATTGAAAATAACCTCTGATATAGTTCCCATATTTTTTACTTTCTAAAAGTTGTGCACCTTTTGCACTGTTTACTTTGGGCAGAAAAAAACTTTACATTCCAAAATAAGTTATAGATGCTGCTATTCACATACGAAGTGAATAGCAAGTGAGGTCGAATATTAATGCTTTCCATTTTGCTTAATTCATGACATATAATGGTTAAGATTCCTTTTTTTGGGGGGGCTGGCTCAGCTTGCCTTAAGGGCAAGTCTAGTGTGACATGTAGTGCTGGGGATCAAACTGTGGTCCCCTGTACCTGAGTTTGCCCAAGCAGAGGCTTTAGACAACTGAGCTAACCCGCAAGTCCCCATGACATATAATGGTTACATTGTAGCTTCTGTGTTAAAATACCTTTGTTCTTGGTTCTCTCTTAAATAATACAGTATGCTCTATTTTGCATAGGTTAAATTTGAAATTTCCTTATTTCTAGAAGGAAATCAGAAAAATACCTTAAGAAAATTTCCTGAAATTCACTGTACTGTACTATCCTTAAGTTTTATTTATTTTTTTTTGTGCAGGGTCTCACTACACAGCTCAGACTCATAGTGATCCTTCTGATTTATTCCTCCCTAGTACCAGGATTACAGGCGTGTGCTACCATGCCCGGACTCCATCACCAGCTCAGCGCACCCAGTGGCAGGGCTGGTGCAGCATGTGGTGCCAGGGATTGAACCCTGGCCCTTGTGCTTACCTAAGCAAGCACTTATTCCACTGAGCTATCCTGCCAGCCCTTGTACTATCCTTAAAAACAGATAAAAGGAGAAATACCTACAATTAGAATATATCTAAATAACTGACTCTCTTTGATTTTAAGGCTTGTCATTTGGATCCTGTACTGGCAAGTGAACTTCACTGCTTAGTTATTCATCAAAGAATTTAGACCACATTGCATTCCAACAAAGATCTTCAATCCTAACACCATACAATGTGTGTATTTTTATAGCATCTGATGGTTATTTCTGCTTTCCAACTTACATCATCCTGGGTATTTAACAGATAATATGTTACTGTTATTCTTAAGTTTGTGTGTTGTAAACCTTACAACCTAAAACCTAGCCATGGGATCAGATTGTTAAAGTGGTATCAGAGATTTCCTGCCCCGCCCCCCCTCCCACCTACCCAATGCCTACAGTATATTAAATTTAAAACCATTCATAAAGCAAATATCATTTTCATTTCTTAAACAAAGAGTGCCTAAGAAGATTTAACAGTTTTAGTTTATTATGTATAAATGCTATGAACTTATTTAAAACATCATTTGAAAGATATTATTATTATTATTATTATTATTATTATTTTATTTTTTTTTTTTGGCAGAACTCAGGCCCTTGTGCTTACCAGGGAAGTGCTTATTCCACTGAGCCATCTCCCCAGCTCCCCTGAAAGTTTAATTTAAAACACTTCTTTGGCTTTTAGTCTTGTGAACTTTTCGTTTTGTTTTTTTGAGACAGTGACTCACTACATAGTCCTGTCTGGCCTTGAACACATTATACAGCCTAGGGTGGCCTCCAACTTGTGGTGATCCTCCCAAGTTGCTGGGATTACAGGGGTGAGCCACCACACCCAGCTAATTTCATGAATATCGAATAACATATTTTTAGTTCTAATTTTTTGCTTCAGTCATTTAAACATCTTAAGAGGAAATAGGAGATCTTTTGCACATGGGAAAGGGTATCCAGAAATGGAGGGACAGGAGAAGGGGATGTAAAAAGAATGAAGATGTATTATGTACATATATCAACTCTCTGTGACGAATGTAATCACAATAATACTGCATACAAGTACTAATACAAATAAAAGGCCAGTCAGTTGGTGTGCACCTGTAATCACAGCTCCTGAGACTTAGATTTCAGCCTGAGGTTTCTTTAGCCTTGACACTTAGGAGTTATTAGAGCTGGGACATAGCTCAGCAGCATAAGCACTTATGTGGCAAGTCCAAGGTTCTGAGTTCGATTCCTGGTACAAAAAAGAAAAAAGTTACCAGAATTCAGTGTTGAGAGCTAGGTATAGTGGGCGGTTCATGCCTGTAACCCCAACATTTGGGAAGCTGCAGCAGGAGAATGGCTGTGAGTTCAAGGCCAGCCTGAACTGCATAGTGAGATCCTGTCTCAAAAAGACTAAAAGCAAATAAAAATAAATTTTAAATTTTAAAAAATTCACAAAATATAGGTCAAAGAAATTTATTTTTTTTTTACATTTTTTAAAATTTGTGTGTGTGTGTGTGTGTGTGTGTGTGTGGCCAGCTCAGCCACTAGGGGGCGGGGCTGGCTGGCATGTGGTGCTGGGGGATTGAACCGTGGTCTTTGAGCTTTGCTAAGCTTGTTCTAAGTAGGTGCTTTAGAACAATGAGCTATCTCACCAGCCCCAAAGAAATTTAAAGTATCAAATCTGTCAGATAACATTTTTGATAAATGTGTGTAGCATTTCTACTTTCGAGGTTATCAAACCTCAAAGAGTCTAACAAATAACTGGTCATTCTAAAATTTTAAAAAGTGGGTTTAAGAAAATGCTTCAAGGAGGTGCTGTCTTAAAAATACTTTAAGTATCCTTTTGGGGTAAACATTAAGATGATACAGCATTCTTTTGAAGTCACAATATCCTTTTTTTGTGTGTGGATTTGGGTTTTTTTAATGGGGGCTTATTTTTGTACTAAGTACCAAACTCAGGACCTTGTGCTTGCCAGGCAGGCAACTTGTGCCACTGAGCTATATCCCTGGGCCTTTTTTTTTTTTTTTTTTTTTTATGGATTTAAACAAGGTCTCATCTTAGTAGCAGGAAAACAGAAATAGAATGCTACCTTGTCACAGATCATTAATGGGATCTGGGAGGCGAGACAAGTACCAAGAACAGTGAGTACCAAATCAACTGTTTTGGCTGGGAAGGGGAGGGAGTCATGAAGCAAGTGAGGCCATCCACACTGACAAACTCTAGCATGTGTCTAGAATACCAAACCAATGAGTACTGGGCCAAAATATTTTTGTCAAAAGGTCTTAAGTACTAAATTTGGCAAGTATCAAAGCAGTTGAATACCAAGGTATGATGATGATAATATGCAGGGGACAATCACTAGAGCTGCTGTACAGCAAAAAATTAGTTGCTCTTGTTTGATGTTCTGGCTTGCTTATATCACTAGACCTTCATTGCTTGATATCAAGGCCAGTGATGCAGCTCAGTGGTAGAGCACCTGCCTAGCACAGATGAGGCCCTGGATTCAATCCCTGGTACAGCAAAAGCAAAGTAAATACAGTTCTCAGAAATCCTAATTATAGGAAAATGTGGTAAGATGCTGTGCCCATTATCTCAACACAGAATTTAAAATTTCCATTTACTGTAATTATAATTTAAAGCTGATAATCTGGTATTGCACACTTCTACCACGGTGCTGACAGCAGTGTAAACCTGGACCTGAGAGTAGAGGTCCTCTGTAATTCAAGTGAAGTGAAATGTCCAGATTTTTACTCTTAAAAACAAACCCCAAACTTCTGGAAGACTCATTATAGCTGTTGTCTCATGAAAAAGTGAGAAGTTATTGTAAAGAAACACTGAGGAACCCGATTATTTGTATAATTTGCAATATAAGCTTAACAACTGAAGTTCAAATGCTAGCATAGAATTATGCTGAGAGACACTTCCGTAACTGTGTTATGATGAGTTCTTTGGGCTTGGCAACTTCACATTACTCTTCTCCCCTGAATGTATCTGAAATGATCTTATCAGTAGCCCATTAAAGAATAATTCTTACACATATAAACAGCCAAGTTTGGCTTATTCTTAAATGTCAAATAATTAGTTACAATCAAGGAGCTGTAACTTAGAAGAATCTCAAAGACAAAATTCAGTATGCTAAGTTTTAATCATTTTCAGAACTTGTTTTTTATAAAGAACTTAGCAGGTATGAGCAATCGATATTCGTCATATTTTAATATATTTAGTATCTTTCTTTTATGGATTCAAACTGAATTTTTACCTCTTAACTGTTTTGCTTTTATTATTTCTAGGACCAGAATGGGGAAGGTATTTTATCACTGCATTAACAGATGATGAGGCCCGGAAATTATCATCCAGCTACTTGTTTGTAACCCCACTATCAATAACAGCCAGACAAGTTCTGAACCCTAGACCTCTTCTAGTGACCCTCGTAGGCTTATGTAAGACTTGATGCTCCCTGATGTCTCTACGCTCTCTCAAATACTTTTCCTACTCTTTCTGTTTCCTTGTGTCATTCTTTCAAGGATTTAGCTCATATCCAATACCTAATTTTAAGCACTAACGTGGCTCTTTTCATGCACCTGAAGTCATATATTTCAGATGTATGTTTTGTGTCTGGTGAAAGGCAGCAAACTTTTTACTTCCTTGGAAATACAGTACTTAAGTGGACTGTTTTTTTGCCAAAGAAAAAGACATAGCTATTTGAACAGCCCCCCCGATTTTTTTTAAGCATCTAACCATCATAGAGCACTGTGATTCATTTTTATATTTTATTGCTTCAAATGCTTCAAACTATGGGAAATCTTTGGTAAAAATGAGAATAAATTTTTCACAATAACTTTACACAAAGCATTGCACAACAGTGTTCTTCAATACACATGAAATAGGAATGTTCAGAGTACTCCAAGGAAATTACTGTACAAGATTCATAGTTCTTCATTTTAAAACAAAATTTTTCATAAATATTTAAAATATTTCCTAGGTTCTTATCACATATTAACATTTACATTTCAATCAGTATGTTGAACTTTAAAGTATTTATATTATTTAAATAAAAAATCAATAAACAGAAGTGCTTTTCCCTGTTGCCTACAATAGCATCAAGTTGCCCTTCCCCTCAATTCTGCTTATTTCACATAAAACTGGACAGATGTTAACTAAAATAAAAATCAGTATGGTTCTCAGTCAAGCCCTCTGTGGAAAAGAGGAAAATGTTTCATGTCTATTTTGACACAGACATTTCTCTGATGGTTTATTTGTGCAGCTCAAACTTGACCAGCCTTCAGTTGCTCTAAATGAGTTCGCAGCTCAGGACACAGCTCCACTAGCAGCAGTTCCATTAGCACCTGCATGGGGCGGGGGGGGGGGGGAGAGAAAAAATAGCAAGTTGTGGGTTTTTTCTCCAACAGTTTGAAAATAGGTATGTCTATTCTCACTAAACAACTGACTACAGGAATATTATATAAGCCATTTACTCCATGGTCCATTAACCACATCAAACCATTCTATAATCAGAAAGAAGATGGGAAAACAGTTTACTCTGCTAAAATAAAACCACCAAACAATTACGCAAAAATGTTGCATGAGAAGTCAAGAAAGGCAGCTGTTATCCAAGAACAGATTGCTGCATGCATGAATAGGTGTGGTGTACGTTTTTCTTTTTAACCAAATGGACAAAATGAAGCAAAGAAAACAGGTTCAGAGTTGGAAGTACTAAAAGTGATTACGGGACCAGGAAATAGTTCAGTGGCATAAGTGCCTGCCCAGCAAGCAAAAGTCCCGAGTTCTATTCATGGTACTCCAAAAAAAAAAAGAGTGATTACTAATATAAATCTTTAAAATCTCCTGCAATATGTGAACAGAAATAGAAAATACAAGAAAAGGTTGGAGAGATAGCTCAGTGTTCCAAGCACAAGGACCCGAGTTTGATCCCTGGTACCACATGCACAGCCAGCCCCACATGCCGTGCTGGTACTGTGCCAAACTAGCTTCCGAAACTGGGCCTGATGGCACATGCCTATAATCCCAGCACTGAGGAGGCTGAGACGGAGGATCATTACGAGTCAGAGCTGCATAGCAAGACCCTGTACCAAATAAATAAATAAAAGATTAAAAAAAGAAAATACAAGAAAAAGTTCATTCTTTGGGAAGCTTTAATTTACTCACATATAACAGATGCTTATTGGCTCTTGTTTCTTGCAGTGCCTTGAATATTTTTATTATCCCATGGCGGGCATTTTGCTGTCCAAGAAGGCTCTGAAGTGTATCTGAAAACAGATGGTTTTCATTTTTGTTGTGGGTATCAAACTCAGGAACTTGCACACACTAGGCAGTGCTTTACTGAGACATAACCTCAGCCCTGACATTTTAAGATTTTTATTCCATGTTGACACTGATAAAATGCATAATCAGTGAGATGGACATTACATGACACACATTAAATAATGGCACCGAGGAGGGATATAAGGAACATAAATGGCCATGAATGGTCAAACGTTTAAAAAGAAAAACATACTGAGAATTTTCCAGCATGAGGCATTTATAGAGTTTTCCAACATAGGCATTTATTTCCAACATGAGGCAATATATTCTTGATGTATTGCTACTGCTGGTCTTAATTCAAATTATTTTTTATCATATTCCTAAAATTTTACAACATACTTTAGACTACCTCTAAAGCACAGAAGGCATTATTTGCTGTAAAATACTTTTCTAGTTAAAAGTTTTTACTAAGATTATCACTGTAACTTTTTAGCAAGTGATAATGGCTTAAAAGAAAAATATGTGACTAAAAAAAAGTTTTGATAGCTACACATGAAAAACATCTTAATACAGTTAACATATCCTTTTTATCTCTGTAAAAACCTGCGGCCTCACCTGGAATGTTTTCAAGTAGTTTTTGCTGTGCTTTCTGCTTTGTTTCTTGACTCTGAGCTTTGCTTCTGATTCTGGTTGGTGGTGCCAATTGCCCATTTGGCCAAAAAGCATCCCGGAAAATATTAATGTAGTAAACTAACATTTGCTCACTGAAAATCCAACTCACTGTGTCCCGGATTTGTCTTTTAAGAGAAAAAAAAAAAAATTCTTGGGTGAGGTTTTGAAACTTTTATACTTCATTCTCAAAAGGTATTCAGAAATGGGTAGACTAAGATATAGCCTGATCTAAATGTTTGATGAACAAAGTAGGAACTGGATTTTTAAACTCTGGCTATTAAAAGTTATTTTTTATTTTGGTGATATTAGATAACCATTTGTTCTTAGAATTCACATTTTCGTTGGCACCAGCATCTCCAAATGTTTGTCATGTGGTACCTTCCAATCTGTATGGACAAGATTTGAAGCTTGCAACTACATTTATATACAATACCTAGTACTCATTTCTCCATAAAGCATGTTAAAAGTGATCTGAAAAATGGCCTAGAGCCCCTGAACTTCCAGAGGAGAAGTGAACTTATTCACCATCTGTCTTATAGGGTTATTATGGCAGATGATGATGGTACAATACTCTGATGGAGGAGAAGCATCCCACAAGCCCAGAGTCAAGGAGAAAGACATCTTGCCTATTTCACTTTGCCATAGGAATGAAAATTGGCAAGCACCTAACTCCTACATTTATGAACAAATGGTTTTTACCTGCTGACCCAGGTCTTTCACACAACCCTATTTCAGCAGTTGAATTTTAACCAGTTACAAGGTATCCTGCCGTCAGAGACAAAGTTCAAACAGCCCAGGAGAATGTGACTTTAGGAGGAGGTCTCGTGAAAAGGAGAAAAAAACCCCACCATCCTAGACCACTAGTGTCAGAAAAGCAAGAGATTTCAAACTTGATTCATGAATAATAAATCAAAAAGCTCTTTAAGAATCTTACGTGTACACACACACACATATATGCATATATAATTTTGAAGAGTAAAAACAAAAGCAAGAACAGCAGAAACAGACATAAGAAATCTTACTTCTTAAAGAGATTTTAAAGGTGATATAAAAGTTCCAGAAATAGCATCTAAAATACATGTGTAAAGTCTACTAATCCAATAATCAGACACTATTGAATAAATATCTACACCCTACTATGAGTCAAGTTACACCTCCTAAGACAATTTTCATACTGCTTAGAACTGTGAAATTCAAATCTGGACTGAATAAAATATTTTTAACTTAGTGTAACATTTTTTTCCATAGAAAACTTGTCTACTTTTTTTCTTTTGGAAAATCTGTATCATAATCATGCCAACATGGTATTTTCTTTCTGTAATCTTGCTTTGTGTTAACCACTGACTGGCGTTCCATGAAGATGTAAAAAAAATTTTACTTACAATTTGAAATTAGATGATTCTTATTAAAGGTTATCACCTAAGTATTCTCTACGAATTTTAAGTAATTGCAGTACATGAGACTGTAGTCGCTATGCAAAGACTACAATGTATTGTTGCTTAATTTTATGATACGGTCTGCTAAAGACAAAAACAACAATTACCAGGTGCTTCATAATTTTCCACCTGATAAAAAAGCCCTCTGAAATGAACAGCCTGGAAATTTTCTACAAGATGCCTCCTTCTACCCCCATAAAAACAACTGCCAAATGTATCCACCACTTGCAAACCACAGCTGCTTATTTTGTAATTAAGAGTCAGTATCATAAAAAAGAACAAGAAAAGTTTCAACACATTTGCTGAAACTGGAAAATAAATTAGCCAGTCTTAAGTACTGAGAAATACTAGGCCATTTTTGACATCTCAGGGCTTGTCACTACTAAAAAAAACTAAGGTTCACTTTATACTGAATTAAAAATTTTTTTCTGAATAAAATAGAAGCCTATGATACTAAGTCAACTGAACAAATCTCAGCAGAACTAAAACTATTTTCTATAAAAATTTAGAAATAAAAGGTAAAATTTTTGTTCATAAATACAAAAACATATTCTACTTGTAAATCAGTATATGATAGTAACATTTTCTCTATGGTTCCCATAAAAAATGTATAAGCTTTCTATGGTAAAACTATCAATATCAACCCTTACAAATACTTGACACTAAGTAAATCTTTCACTCAGAAAAGTCTGGTAATTTCTCCTCAAAACTTATTTTTTAAAAAAGTAATTTGTTATTTCTAGAAGTTGTCTTATATCTATTGTATAGGAAGTCATAATGCTTATCTTGAAGAATTTCAAAAATAGGATAAGTATTTAAGAAACATTGATAATAGCAGTTCCCAAGTCCAGGAACAGAAACATCAGACGAGACTGAGTGAGCAGGCACAGGCCAGGAGGCCGGGCAGGTTTCCTAACCAAGTGAGTCATGTGATTTCTTTGGTTCTCCTTCCTCCCTGAAAAAATAAGGAGCTAGACCAATCTCTGAAACCTCTTTCAGGACTGAAACTATCTGAATAATTTGATTTAACTTATTTAAAGTTCAATAATTTATTGGGAACTAATATTGACTTATGAGTTTTCAATAATAGAGGTGGGGTTTCATAAATGAACTGCCAAAATGTGACTCACTTTTTATGAGGAATGAAATATATACTACATAATGCTATACATATGAGTAATATATAGTTTAGAATCTACAAATAGCTTATAGAAGTGCTATATGATAGACTCTCATGGCTACTAAGATATTACCAGAAAAGCTACCACAAATTTTAAAGCTCATGTATGGTTTTACTGTATTTCCCTCCAAGTAAATACAGCTAATCCCCAATTTATGAATATCACAGTTGGGAACTTTAACAGGGATACTGTGTAGGATCCACAGGTGTACTGTATAAGAATCACTCTGTTGGATTATGAACAGATCTGACAAAGGAACGCTCTCCTGGGACAGAACTTATTTGTAGGCTGGGGACTTACTGTACTTGCCATGAGAAGCTCATCCTCAAAGTCCAAACCTTAGTGCAATTTCCATTATGTAGCATAAGAACAGTACACCAAATACTCTCTCATGTCAAAATGAAACTTCACAAAACACAACTTTTTGACCCTTGTGAGCCAGAATGAGGCAAAGAGCTCAAGGTTCAACATCTAATATACCATGCATTTTTGTATGAGAAATTTAGAAGACTGCTTTGCTATAAAATCATAGCAGAAACAAAAAGAGAAAGGTATGAAAGTTAAATTATTGACTGCTGTACCATATGATACTATACCATAGGGCATAGATTCAAATATTAATTCCATATAACTCACTTGTTGATGGTTCTTCCAAAAGTGACCTGAACAAGAGCAATTAATGTTCTTCTCACCCACTTAAACACTGAAATATAAATTAAGGAAAAAATTATAACAATATAATAATCATGACTTTTTCATAGCTACAAAAAGTACAGGCTTAGCACTTAATTCAATCTGAGAGCCATTATCAATCAGAGGATAATGATTTCTGCAGAATTTGGGTACAGGTATATCCACTCAAAAAAAATTACTGTAAGGTTTTACTTTTTACTAAGCAAGTGATGAGATTAAACCAGAGTTTAGCTTTCAATGTCTAAAGAATAGCTGAGCTAGCAAGTAGCGATAATATTTTACTCCCTGCATCCACACTAGTGACAACATGCCCGTGTTCCACCAGCTGATCCTGCGATTCCCACTTCAGACTTCTTCCTGGCTTACTGAATCTAGTTTCCTAACACATGGCTCTACAGAAGAAGCATCTGAAGTCAGATACTGACAAATAATTGTGAGATATTAGTGAAGTACAGGTTCTAACTGCTGTCATTTGAATAACAGTTTGGGCAATATCTTTTATTTTTTTATATTTTATGTGCTTGGGGGAAGAAAGGTGATCTGTGAAGAGCCAGGATGCTGAGTTGGATTAAATTCTATAGTCTGCTGAGCCACCATGTACAGTAGCCAGACGAAAATCTCCCAAACCTTGGTTTTTTCCATTGGGAAAATGACAGGATTCATATATGCCCTTTATTTTTCCACCGAGGATCTTAGTGTGTGTCAAGGGTCCTACAGATCTAAACTTTAATGCTATCTGAGACACATTTTATAGGCATAGAATATGAACATAAGCCAGGGAAAGTAAAAATGCTGTGAAGTTATGTCTACAAATTGAATATAAACAAAGTTTTCATTTCTATTTTCATGTTCAGTCCTTGAAATGTCTGGCTAGTGCCACATGAGGAAATGAGAAATTTAGTTGGCTAAAAGAGCCAAGAGTTCAGGCTTCCTGTACCCAGCAAGAAAACCTACAGGAAGCACATTCACAACTGCTTTCACACAAAAGCAAACACCTAAGTAAAGATCAACAATCAACAGACTCAGTACTAGACTCAAACATTTCAAAATCATTTCTAATATTTTAAAATAAAACTAAATGTCCAGTTACAGTGGTATTAGTCCTGCAGCTAAAAGTCAAGTCTTGGATTCAGAATCATGTCTCAAAACTGCCTTAAACTTTTTGGTGGAAATTGTTGGAATGCTGCCATGCAGGTAGACTTGCTCATTTCAGACTGGCATTCCTATGCAAATGAGCATGTCCACGTGGGTCAATTAGGACAACTTCACTCTGCTTTCCTGGGGCAGAAAGGAGACAACTCATACCCAGGAAGTCTGAGGACAAGTGCACCCTGACACAAATGCCTGACCATTGGGTATCTATAAAAAAGGCTGCATTACTAGTTCCTTTATACATATTGACCTAGAGCAGGAAGCCAAACTGATTTTGCTACAGATTCTATCCAATCACTGATAGCCCCTTAGTCCAGTCCCAATCCACTCACACAATAAAACGTACCCAGGACTCCTTTCAATGCCTCATTTGCACAAAGTCACAAAAACAGCTGCAGCAGCCTGAGGACTGTGATGGCAAATATATCCCATCTCGTTACAAAGGATGTTCTATTTATTCTCCTCTGAAATGTCACTAGCAAAACCAAATGTTTCTGAGCAGCATTTGATGGAGGTTGTGCATGCTGCAAAGACAGTATTTTGAGCTGGGTGTGATGGCCTATATCTACAATCTGACTGTTGGAGGGGGCTGAAACAGCAAGATCACCGCCAGTTCAAGGCCAATATGGGCTACAGTGAGTTCAATGCTAGCCTAGAATGCCTTGCAGGACCATCTCTCCAAAAGAAAAAAAAAAGCATTTGAGCCCTCTGTGGCTGTGACTGACTCTGACACACCTACTACATCCCTCTAGCCTTGTATCTGTCAAAGCGAATACACCAACAAAAGCTAAAAACCAGGTGTCTTTGTCCTTATTACTAACGTACAAAACTGTGAGAATTCATGACTTCATTGGCCAGATTTCACTGAGGAACAGCCAGACTTCGGGTGGAATACTGACTTTTGGTTTTTTTCCTCTCTCTACTGAGGTAAGTTAAGCATCAGTGTATATCTTAAATGTCTAAACTATAGAAAGGCTACGGATTTTCTATCTGAAAGAAATTTTAGTATTTGAGCGATATTCTAGCATATGGATATGTTTTAAATTTAACTATCCCCAACTTAAAATGTATCTTAGTTCTAGATTTTGTTACTGAAAGCATGCTAAAATGAACTTTCTTATACATACACTTTGGCCGTTTTACTATAAACTCACTGAGAGCAATATATATATATATATATATATATATATATATATATATATTCAGTGAGTTTCACTATATATATATATATATAGTGAAAGGGACAAGAAAGGAAAGTTACTTGTGTAGCTCTTAGAAAAGTAATGTTTGGGTCCCCATTTTGCTACTGTTTCTTCTGTGTCCATCTCCTTCAGGAATTACTAAGCGAGGGTTCTTGGCCACAGACTGTTACTGTGGGGATAGTCCTCTGCTATGGAGACTGTCCTGCACGCCATGGGATGTTCAACTGCCAGCAGCATTCTCATCTGCAAGTTCTAACAACCAAATGGTCTCCAGATGTCACCAAATCTTCCCTCCTCCCCTCCAATGAGTGAATCACTTTTTTTTTTTCTTTTTTTTTTTGGTGGAACCTGGGATTGAACTCAAGCCCTTGCGCTTGCCAGGGAAGCGCTTATTCCACTGAGCCATCTCCCTGGCCCTGTCTCCCCTCCAATGAGAACCACTACTCTAAAGTTAGATGGTGGAAAAATAAAGCTGAGACTTCCCTGTTTCCTTAGCCACAATACTAAACTAGCATCAAGATCATATCTTGAACAAAAGGGTTTTCCCCTGCTATGAGAAGTAACTTTTGTATAACTTTTGGCCAGAAGGAATGAAGCTATGTTGAGCCACATGAAAAGAAATCCAAAGTATTCTATCCTCCTCTATTGAAAGGAATACACTGTACAGAAATGTGTGCAGAGATGCTACGTGTCTCAAGGCTGTGCTGTCAGTACTTAACATTGTATGTGTTGGCCCTTAAAATAACTGTCTAAGCGCTGGCCAGATAGCTCAGCAGATTAAAGTGCCTGCCTAAGCAGACGCAGAGACCGGGGTTCAAACCCTAGTGTGCCGTGCCAGCCCCGCCCCCGAGGCAGGCTGAGACTGCGAATGAGACTGGGAATGGCAGCGCGCACCTGTAATCCCAGTGCTTGGGAGGCTGCAAACAGGAGGATCATTATGAGTCTGATCTGTGTAGTGAGACCCTGTACTAAATACATAAACTGTTTAATGAACCAATGCATGAATATAAATACATACCTGATGCAGTTCAGGAATACAGAGACATTGTATAAGTCCCACAACCAGAACATACTAAATAATAAAAAAGAGGCTTACTTCCTCGAAGTTCAAAAATCTCCCCAATCAACATGAAACATGGTTCAGCCAAGGCATCTTTCCTCCCATCCACATCATCGCCATAATCTGACAGGTCACTGTCCTCTTCTGGCTCTTCCTGGGGGGAGAATAAAATGACAGAAAGCAGGTCACTTATCCAAGAAAACTGGAGGTGTGTTTTCCTTCTTCGAGTGTAAATTCCAAATGATTTGCTCATAATTTAGCCTTAGCCTTAGCCTTCTACCCTTATGTAGAAATCTATCCACTTTACATATAGAGGACAAAATGTACTAAACCTTGGAAAAGCTTAATACTAAAACCTTATTCAAGGTCTAAAATAACCTAATTTTTAAAAAACCTTTTTTTTTTTTTTTTGCGGAACCAGGGATTGAACTCAGGCCCTTGTTCTTGCCAGGAAAGCATTTATTCCACTGAGCTATCTCCCCAGCCCCTCCATTTCTGTATTAATAAAAAACTGGAATAAAATACTTTTCTTTAAACTGTAAAACATTTGTTGAGTTTTAAAAGCAAAACTTCTGGCTTACATGATTTTAAATTTGCTGCCTTAAAAAATACACATTGTAGTCTATTTTTAAAGACATACTATGAAGCTCGTGCTTTTACTTTATGCTTCAACTAGTCTCATTTCCTGATCTGCAAGTCTGCAAGTTTCAGTTCAAAATTTCTTATATGGCAGGTAGCAGCAGGTTAGTCCAAATGAGTGCAATGTACACGTAGAGGACAAACTTTTAGCAGTTGACAGGAACCTAGGGAGAACAATGCAGACACTGCTGGTGAGGTGAGATGTGGTGCTGTCAATGAGGTCCAAACATTAGGCAGAACGACAACTGAGGAAGATCATTTCAATGTCTGCATGAAAATGATGCTGGTCAAGCTGTAGGCTAATGATAGGACTTGGGGTGACAACATGTGAGTACAAGAAAGAACTGGAGAGAATTCTAAGAGATAAGAAGAGGTCCTCAAAACTTTACAGCTTCACAAAAATCCAACAGTAGCAAATACTTCAAAGAAGGTGAAGAAGATCAGCTCAAAGAGGAAGCCACTGACACTTTCACAAGGTAATTTCACAGAGTGAGGAGCTATATGTGGATCCTATAAAGCTCCAGCATAAAAGGGTAACAGTAAGGACATAAGGTCTCACAGACATAGCAGAGAGAGATGAGAAATGAGGGAGGCAGGCTCACATCCAGATCTGAACAGAGGTGGAGGATGTGCTACAGGACACACACTTTCTCTCTGGGCTCAGAATGCAGTAAAGCAATATGTTCCTCTGCATGGTCAAATTTATTAAGTCAGTTCTGGTAAAGAAACTATGCCATTTTGAGCCAATTTTGGAGATGGCTTTGTGCAATTTTCCAGAAAGCCAAACAAGGGGTTTTAGTGGCCTATGTAGGACCCCCAGCACAGTGGTCAAGGACATGAGCTAAAAAATGTCTATAGTCTTGTCAGGTATGATTGCACACATCTATAATCCTAGCGCTCCAGAGACTGAGGCAGGAGAACTGTTGCAAGCTCAATGCCAGCATGGGCTACATAGTGAGTTTAAAGCCAGCTTGGACTATATAGAGCAAGACCCTGTGTTATAGTTTGTATCTATATGTCCCCCCCCCCCCCGCCAAATCTTCTGCAGTCATAGGTGGGAGTTTCAAAAGTGGCTGGTTTAGGGTGTGTGATAGTGGATTAAGGGGGTGGACACTATAAGCTCCTCCTGGGTGTGGTGGCATCAATTAATAGGCTTAAAGCCTGGATAGAATATAAAGGGAGAGAGGGAAGGCAGACCTGCTGCTGCTTCTGCTGTTGCTCGCTACCTGCTGCCTGCCTTGCCATGCCATGGACTGTGTCTTCTCTGTGATGCTCCTCTGTCACTACCTTGCTGTAGAGTCAGCTGACTATGAAGTGAAACCTCCACAAACTGTGAGCTAAATAAACCTTTGTTCCATTAACTCTGGGTGTCAGGTATTTAATCTTAGCAAAGAGAAAAGGAAATAAGGAACTCTATGTCAAAACAAAAACAAAATATCTACAGTCTCTTTCTATGCATACATACAACTGCTACGTTCATCTTGCTTCAAAATATTCTATGGTTCTCCATTTCCTGAGAGTAAAGTTTAAATTCCTGCACATGAAACTCTGTCTTATTTTTCCTTAGAACTCTACCGAAACCTTCTGGTTCAGTCCAGTGACCGCCAGACTATTGCCCAAACACAGCCTCCTCTCCTGAGCCTTCAATGTTGGTCCAGCACCTGTACAACACAGTCCTCACTCCTCTTCCCCACCCTCCGGGACTGATGCCTGCGGAACATTCCACCCACATGTCATTTACCCACCTTATTATTAATCCTGTATCTTAAATTTTCCAAATGACTTACAGGGGAGAACAAGCAGGTGTCCCCAGAATGTGACAGCACTAACTGACTTTCACTAGTAACGCACTTGTAACAAACACCTGTTATTTTACACAGCTTTCAAAAAAATCCCTGTTTACACGTGTTACAAAAGTGGTGTGACCTTTGGCCCACTTACCTCCTGATGAGAGAAAAAGTCACGAGGAAGTTTTTCAAAAAATGAAGATAATGAAAAAGTGTTTTTTTTCCCCTGCACATCAATAACCTTGAGGTAGTCAGGAGAAGGGCTCAAAAAGGCATAAAGTGCTTCACTCTGACAGAGTCTTTCATCTGAAAGTAGATTCTGTAGAACAGAGAGGATTAATTACTCCTATGAGCTGCTGGGACCTACTACATACAGGGTAAACAAAATAAAACTGGATATGTGTCATGGATTTACTTTCATTGTAACAAAACCTCCCTTTCTTCTTCCTGAAATAAACTATATAAAATGCATGGTGAAAGATACTAATGGCTAACAGTCCCCTCCAGGGTCACTGGCAGCACAGTGCTTATGGGAGACACTGAACTCACTCACTTTGTACTGCTTGGTCAACAAAAAATTATTACTTTCAGAACAACTCACACATCTAAAACAGCTGTCACTTACTAAACACTATTTTATGGCTATGTTTACATTTTGTATATAATGGAAAAAGGACTGAATTATCTGTCAGGCAACACTTCCATTTCAGTGCATCCTACAACCTTCCACATAGAATTTGTTTACACAATTATATAACTATTTTTTAAAGTCATTTAGATTTTGTGTGTGTGTGTGTGTGTGTGTGTGTGGCCAGCTCAGCCCACCAGGGGGCGAGGCTGGCTGGCATGTGGTGCTGGGGGGTTGAACCGCGGTCCCTGTGCTTTGCTAAACTTGTTCTAAGTAGGTGCTTTAGACCACTGAGCCATCTCACCAGCCCCTATATAACTATTTTTATTGGCCCTTAAACTGGAAATTTCGTAAACTATATATACGTATCTGGCCGAGGAGAGAAGAAAGTAGAACATAAATCAAGTTCGTTTAAATATAAGCAAATGCTATGATAATAAAGCAAGATTACCACTGTAATGTCAATAATGTGCTTAGTATTATAAGATATAGGGTATAGGAATGAACAACCCAGTAGAAATTATCACCTATTTATGATGTATGTCCCACAGAGTAGATGGAATACTGGGCGCCAACCATGCTTCTGACAATAGAAAGTGGAATGGTAGCAGAGATTAAGGTCTATTCTCAGAGGAGGTAGTCCATGAATTTGACATCTTATTTTCTCAGCAAGAAACCTGACAAATCCTTTGTCTAGCTGTAATAAGCACTTCTCCCATCCAAATACTAACCAGGCCCAACCATGCTTAGCTGCTGCTTCTTTTTTTCTTTTTTTTGCGGAAGTAGGGATTGAACTCAGGCCCTTGTGCTTGCCAGGGAAGCACTTATTCTACTGAGTCATCTCCCCGGGTCCTCCTGCTTGGCTTCTGAAATCAGATGAGATCTCATGTTCAGGGTGGTATGGCATAGACTAATAAGCACTTCTGAAAATGCTTGATATTGCCAAATTGAGGATGAGGAGTTTGAGGAGCATTACCAGCATCCCCGATTGCCAGCTTCATGTATGCTGCAGAACACACACACACACACACACACACACACGCACGCACGCACACACACATTCCCGCAATAGACATAGGAGAAGAGATTAAGAAGGGGCAGTCACACGACTGCTTTTTCTATTCCCTGCGCCAAGTACATAGGCTTTTATTCCCTTTTTCCAGATTATTAAATATATACAAAAGCAAGTTTAAGAGGACTAATATGCTTTTCCTCATCTTCATTTCCTTTAGCTAATGTGTCCTCCAAAATTACTTTAGAAAATAGTATGATACTAATGGTAAGCCTCAACTTAACATAACCACTAAAAACAAGATAGAAGAGACACAGTCCTAGCTCATGTGCAGTGAGTGTGTGGGAGAGATTCCTGCTACCCTGGGCCAGCGGGACCTACTACTGGTGCCAGCCCAGGCGCAGCATGGGTGAGACCCTCTTCCACCCCCTTGGGATGCCCCTCACCACTCCACAGCACCTCCCCAACCCACCCGCCGAGTAGGAATTTCTTCCACATTCTGGGAACCCCCAGACCCAGTCCTAGCCCAGACCGGTGAGTGTCTGGGAGAGCTGCCTCTCCCCACTACTCCACCTTGTCCCCTCCAGGATCCGCTCAGTGCTACACAGAATGATGAGAAGGAACAAAATGCAACCTCAGAACCCAAGTCCACACGTAACAAGTGCAGAGGACACTAACACAGAACAAACTGGGAATCACACAGCTGAAAGCAATGAATCAATGGCTTCTGAAATAAAGAAACAGGTGCAGAAAGGTATAGAGGAACTCAGATTGGAAATGAAAAAACAAATCCCTCAATTAATAACATCTGCACTAAAGAATCAAATGCAGAAACATATGGAGGAAACCAATGCCCACCCAGAACAAGTGCAGAGGACATTAGCTCAGCTGAAATGCATGAATTAATAGCGTCAATAGTAAATAAGTAACAGCAGAAAGTTATAGAGGAACTCAGAGTGCAATTCTTTTCTGAAATAAAAAAAGAATTCTCAGAACTCATAGCATCTGAAGTAAAGAAGCAACTACAGAAACATAGGGAGGAAACCCAAGCTGGAAAAAAAACACTGCAGTAAAAGAATTTATAACTGCTTCTAAAGAAGACATTGATAAAAAAATAGAGGAGATTAGAAAAATGATGGATTCCTTGAAGGAGCAATACAGGAAAGAAACAGATTGCATGAAGCAGAGTCAAAGAGATATAGAGGAAATTAAAAGCTCAATCACAAGCTTGCAAAACCATTTAAGTGAAAGTGAAGACAGAGTTTCAGATCGTGAAGATGCTGGTGCAACTAGTGAAAAGGTAAGAAAGGATCTTTTAAAAAGAAAGAGGGGGGCTGGTGAGATGGCTCAGTGGTCTAAAGCACCAACTTAGAACAAGCTTAGCAAAGCTCAGGGACTGCGGTTCATGCCCCAGCACCACACGCCAGTCAGCCCCACCCCCTGGTGGGCTGAGCTAGCCACACACATAAATAAATTAATTAATTAAAAAAAATAAAAATGTAGATATTGTTAAAAAAAAAACAATGAGGATGCAGGAAAGAATAAACCATCACCTGCAAGATGTTGCAAAGATGAACAATGTGAGACTAATAGGCATCAATGAGAAAGAAGGAGTCAATACAAATGATATTAAAAAAATATGGGCAGAAGTAATAGCAGAAAACTTCCCAAATATGAGGAAACAATCTGACATTCAGCTAACCGAAGCATACAGAATGCCAAGTAACCTCAACCCAAGTAAAAACACACCGAGACATATAATAATCAAGAACCCAGAAATTCAGCACAAGAATAATATACTGAAAGCCGCTAGAGGCAAGAAGCAGATCACATTCAAAGGAAAACCCATCAGAATTATGGCCGACTTCTCTTCACAAACCATGAAGGCAAGAAGAGCATGGAGCACAGTACTCAAGTCCTCTATGAAAACAAATTCCAGCCCAGACTACTATACCATGCAAAACTCTCTTTCAAGTTTGATAGAGAAGTGAAATACTTTCATGATAAAGAACAGTTAAAGAATTTCATGATGATAAAGCCAACCCTACACAGCCTACTGAAAGATGTTCTAGAGAGGGACCAAAATGATCAGAACTCCACGAATGAGATCACAAGCAACCAACTAAATAGGGCAAGCAATTAAACATAGGAGAAAAAAAGAGTAAATGACAACAGGTAAATAGCATGTCAAACGTAAGTCAATACATCTCAATTCTAACCATCAATGTAAATGGACTCAATTCACCAATTAAGAGAAATAGAGGGGGGCTGGGGAGATGGCTCAGTAGGATAAGTGCTTGACTGACAAATGCAAGGATCTGAGTTCAATTCCCAGTTCCACCAAAAAATAAAAAAATTAAAAAAAAAAGAGAGAAATAGACTGGCACAGTGGATTAGGAAACAAAATCCAACAATATGC